TTTTTGCTGAGGAAGATTGTCCCTGAGCTAACATCTGTGCCCATCCTCCTCTATTTTGTATGTGGGACGCCACCACAGCATGGCTGAAGAGTGGTGTAGGTCCACACCCGGGATCCGAACCTGCGAACCCAGGCCAAGGTGGAGCACACCAAACTCAACCACTACGCCACTGGGCTGGCCCCTCAAATATTTTTTACGCAGGAAAATATAGCCCTTGGTCCCAAAAGGTTTTCCTCCAACCCAAGGAAATGGATGTGTGGACGCCCCCTCGGGCACTTTGTGAAGGGCCATGTGGGGGGTTTTGCTGTCATTTTTTTTTTGCTAAAAGGAAATGACAGACACAGCAAAATGGTATTTTGAAGAAAGAATGATCTGAGAACCAAAGCCAAATGAAGTTAGAAGAAAGACTTTTAATAATTACTTATCACTTAAAAAATTCTTTAAATAATGAGGTTTGCTCACTCATAAAAACGTTTATCTAATTATAAAACTTGAAAATCAACTTTATTTATAAAAGCCATATAAGCACACATTACAGAAAGTCTATAAAATAGAGTTTAATGACTTCAAATTATATTAATAAATTTTGTTAACAAAACATGAAGTATGTGACTTTTCTACTTACTCTCAAGTACATGCCAAATTTCACACAGAATTTTAAAAAGAAGGTTTTAATAATAACATATGGGACACACACACTCACCCTCCCCACCATCTTTCCCCAAGCCACCCCTGAGAGCCCCAGATCAGGAACTGGGGTCCTGCAGTCACGAAGCGGCACCCAACCACGCGATGCTTGTCTCTTAGACGCACAGTTAGAAATCAGCAGTGCAGGACGCGGCAGTTAGCCCCTGATTTCTATGCTATCGTTTCATACGAAAATTACGCTCGTCACATGTAACAAACCTCATTCTGTCTGGCAACACAATACGTGAGAAACCAGGCTACACACAGAGCTACACTAGCACATCAGCTCAGCACTGCAAACACGGCCAGGGCTGAAAAGCGCAACAGCTCCCACCGGCCTTCTCTGAGAGCAGCGCTGAAAGGATAATCCCTTTTCATTTGGAATTAGATTTGACGAAGTAAAAATTAATGCAACACTTCTAAAGTGTAAGACGCATAATGACGGCGATTTGTAGATGATTTTGGTTGGTTTGGGAACCAGGCATTAGAAAATACTGAATTATAGAGCGAAAAGGTGTTCAACTTAAATTGTTTCCATCCTTCTGATGACATCAATAAGAAAGTCCCTTTGGTGCCAGAATGTCATTAACACCCGCCGTGAATGGAGGTGGGGAGGAGCCAGGCCTGGTCGGCTTTGCTCACTGCTGTGTTCCCAAGGCCTAGGACTATTCCTGGTGGAAAGGAGAATACTCAAGAAGTATTACTGAATGAATGAATGAGCACACAACCTTAGGTAACTTTCAGAGCCTTTAAACCTCCATCAACCTGCACCAAGGGGAAAAAATAATAGTAATTTTGTATTTGATAACCGACTTTAAAAACTGTAAATGTTAGCAATGAAAATTTTAAGTTTTAATAACTAAAAACTGATAAAAATTATCTTTAAAGATAGGTTTTCAGAAAGGTAAAATTACAATTGAATAATTCCAAGTAAGTAGTGAATTTTCTATAATTCTGCGTCTCCCTCTCATTTCGACTCTCACGTCACTTTTCCCTGGAACAAAATCAAGGTACAGGAATAACTGAACGTCGTGAACATTCCACACTCTTTCCCATTAGATCCTACACTGTTAGGATAAAATTCATTACTGATTCTCAGAAGGAAGAGTTTTGGTGTAAGAACACTCACAGCTGCATCCTGCACCCACCTCCTTCCTACAATGGCTAAGGAGTGGGGGCCACTGTTGAGAGTGGACGGTGGTGCTGTTGTGTCCTGTCTGTGACGACACGCACAAACCTGGCTGTCCCGCAGAGACCCCAACTGAAGAGCGGCTCTCGGAAATCAAGAGAATCAACTCACAGTGACAAGGCCTCTTCAGGAGCTCACCAGCTCTTGACTCCTACCCGAAGAGCTACGGTTCACACAATAAAGACCTTCCGTCCCGGCTTTGCATCTCACAAAGCACTTTCACATCTATTATCGTTTTATTCTTCACAGTAGTCCTGTGAGTGACCAAGCATTTATTCACTCAATGCAGAGCTGTTATGCCTGCTTTCCAAATGGGAAAAGTGAGGGAGACAGCATCATTCAGTGTCAGAGCTGGGGCTTCAAACCAGATCTGACTCCACCCCACGCCCTTTCCACAGCAAGGCACTTGCTGTCCTCAGAACAGCAGGATGCAGCAGACAGAAGGCCTGAAGACCCTGGGTCATGAGCTCCTCTGGGAGGGAAATTCATTTATAGATAATAAGGCAGAATGAAGTTTTAGTGGCTCTCTTAAAGACTTGGTGGAGGGTAGTAGAGGAACAGGAAGTAAGAGGGATTTTTAATGAACTAGAGTTCATTAAACTCTAGGCACATATAGTTCACGAATAAAATGTAGTTTTCTTTTCTAATTAGGTCAAACTTTGA